TCCCACCTCACCTACCTCATATGGAACTCTCGAAGAACGTCCCGTGTCTCCTGCTCTGCACGCTCGACCCTAGTCCACAGCTGGCGTACCTGGTCGGCGGTGCTCTGAGCGAGGTCGCTGGTGTTCCATAACCATCTCACCATGACCGGAAGAGCTCGATCAGCCGGTCCTCCATCCCTCAGGCCAAAGAACTCGCGTGACATGAAGAACGGGGGTCGCTTTCCCTACTGTCTGCTCCATCTCCAAAGATCAATACCCCATGGGATGTAGGACCAGTGGGGCCCACCCGGTAAGCGGGCACCCTAATCAGGTAAGGGGGTTTGATGAATTCGGACTCCGCGTCCGAATCACCCCCTTCACTATCGTTGGGTTCCTCCTCAAAGCTTCCTTCATCTTCTTCCTCCTCCTGTTCTTCTTCTAGTTCGGCAGGCTCGCCCTCGACTCCTGCCTCCGGTTCCCCGTCAGATTCCTCCTCGGGGTCTTCCTCAGGCTCTTCTTCAGGCTCTTCGTCTAACCATCCATTATTTCCCTGGTTAGGGAAGTAAGGATCTCCGGGGTGATGGAAACCAGCCATGCCGTCTGCGAGAGTGTGTAAATATGCTAACATTATCCCTAGGATGCAACAACTATTATACAGACTAAACGGATGTTCTCTTTTTGGTGATAAAGGGGTATGTTTTTAGGTTCCCTAGCTATCACGATCTCCTCAGAACGTGTGATAGTTATACATTGGAGGGAATGTATTTGATCAGGCTACATCCACTCCTTGATATGACTAGAACAACTCTGGCTTAACCGAGATACTAGCATTATCTTGTTTGGTTCGGTATTATGTTCTTGTTCCTAATGCAATCAAGGGTGTTTTATTGTTATGTTTTACTTTTTTTGTTCAGAGTTGCGTTAGTCCCTCTTTAGGTTTATAGTTGCATATCAATGTGTGGTTAGATATGCTAGTTCACTATAAATAGAGCTCTGATACCAACCTGTCACACCGCCGAACCAGACGGCGGAAACGTCCGAGGGCTATTGTGACTTAATTGAATACCATCACAATGATTATACATGAATCATAATACCATTCATCACCATGCATTGAAATATTACAACTGATACTGTTTACATTAGGTACATTGTTTTAAACATTACAAATCCATAACATAAACCGTTCGATAATAAATTTAAGCAAAACACCACGACATCACTTCGTACTTATTCTTTGGTTTACATGTTGCCTGAGAATACAAGTATTTTGGAAAAACGTCAACATATGAAATGTTGGTGAGTTCATAAGTAATGTTGTGAAAAATGATTTCTGTGAAGTTTTAAAAACACAGAAAATTCGATATTTTCTGAAAAGAGTATTGTCTATAAAAAAAAGTGTGAAGATCCGTAAGTATGCTTGTCAATTTTTGTAAACATGTATAGTTGTTGAACTTTGTATACATCACATAAGTAAAAGTGTTGAACTCCCCGGGAAAACCCGATGTTTTCCCAATACATAAAATTACGTGTCATATTTATTGTTATACCGATACGATGATTGTTTTTTATTACCCAGGTGACATTGGATTAATTATGGGTTGTGAATTATTATAATCACGCATTAATGAAAATGACTAGTTTATAACTACCAATTACAAACGATCCTTTAGGCGTCGTCCGTACTACTCACTTAATCCAACCACCCTGACTTCTCATAGCCCCACAACCGAGGAGAAAGGAGGGTATGAAGCCCCCTTTATTTCCATAAGTTGTTCAAGGCTATCGGGAATGCGAAAGGCGCTTGGCCCGACTCGCATTCGACTTCTCGACTTCATTAGCAGTACCAATGGACCGTTGGGGCCCAATAGCACAATAGAGCTATTGAAAGTCCTTGTACATGGAATTAGGTCATAGAAGGCCCAATAACATGCAAGCGCGTTCCCTTCGGGACTAAAGATCATGTTATTGGGCTAGCAAGGCCCAACAAGCACGATTTAAAACTTTCGAGCCCAACGATTGAATCTTGACTCCTCGTAGATTTCGCGTGTTTATTGAAGTACTATTGTTTATTGATTTTTGATTTGTTATTGATTCGAGACCGAATCAATTCGTTTGTTAACGATATTGGTGTTGAAAGTGTATTTGTTATTACGTTTCGCTGGTAGTCGTGGATCTCGTATTTTGTCTTAAGGGGTTTATTTGTTTAAAAGTAAGATTTTACTTTTTCAGGACCGTTCTTTGATAAAATTTGCAGTTTTAATTCTTTATATAAAAGAATTTCCATTTTAGTCCTCAAACCATTTTTTTTTCTTGACACTTTAGTACCATAACTTATTGAAAAGACATTTTCAGCCCAAATTTACTTTGTAAACAGCTTAAGTCCTTCAAAAATGAAGTTTTCTCGGTTGGAACCCCCATTTTCGCAACTTTTACAGTTTTGGCTCAAAATGGAAAAGTTTTGCATTTTTGATCCCTTTTGAATTTGAAAAACATTTTTGACCTTTGAAATGGTTTTAATACACTTTAAATCCCATGTTTTACAGAAAGTTACATTTCCAGCCCCTCAAATTTAATAATTTTGCAAATTGGAGCTTATTGGGCCAAAAAGCCCATTTTAGCCCATTAGGTTCAAATTTTACATTTTAAGCCCCTCAAAAATGTTGATATTTAGAAAAATTGTATTAGAAACTGTTGGACCCTTTTCAACCTCCAGAAATTATAATTTGTCGTTTTGGGCCCTTAGTTTTGTATTTTTTACAATTTAAGCCCAAAAATGGGTTTTATGTCCAAATATGTTCATCCTAACCAAATGAACTATTTTTCTTGACTTGATTAGTGCAAAATGGTGTAAGTTATGTTTATTTCATCCCTCATGTTATATATCTTGGTTTTTAGGTAGTTTTTGGGTAACATATTCATCACAACACATCATATTACACACAAACATGCATCAAATCACACAAAGCATACATTTACTCATAGATCTACACATTTGCTTGTATTCTCCCCCATAACAACTCATAAAAACCGATAGAAATGGGGTATGAAGCTCACCTTGAGTTGTAGTTTTGGTTTTGAAGAAGATTGGAAGGACCTTGATGTTGTTTTCGGGCCTAACAAGCCTTCCTTTGATGATTTCGAACTTAGAGGGTTTCTAAGAGAGTGATCATGATTTTGCATGGATTAGAAAGAGATTTTTGATAAAACAAAGAACCTAGATCATAGATCCAAGCATGATCTTACCTTAGATGAAGAATTTGTGGAAATATCTTCTTGAAAAACCTTCTAAAATTCGAGAACTTGATGAAGAGTGGAGGGAGTTTCCTTGAGAGTTTTGTGAGAGAAATGTGTGTGTATGTGAGTTTGGAATCGGCCGAGAGAAAGAGAGAGAGAGAGAAGAGAGAAGAGTGATTTTTGAAGTGAGTTGCATGAAAACATTAGATGGCATGGATGTTTGAAGTGTAATAACCTAGATATCTTCCATGCAAAGATGAGGTGTCATGAAAAAGTCAACTTCTTCTTCTCCTTTTGGGCTTGGGCCGAGAATTAGAGAGGAAGAGAAAAGAATTTGGGCCTTGTATGCTTAAGCGTTTTTCATGGTTATTTTAAGTGATGTTTGGTCCAAATAATCATAAATGTGAATCTTATGACCTATTAGGGCTAAATTAGGTTAATTATGGCCCTAAATGGTTCATATAATTAATTTATTTCATTCTAGGCCTAATATGACCCAAAATACTGAAATAAATGGAAGTGGGTCCAATTAGAACCCATTTAAGAGTTCTAAGCCCAAGGTGGTCAAATTGGAAGCTTATTGGTCCATTGGGCCCAATAAGGAAGTCCTAGTCCAAAATGGACTTAAACAAGAACTTCTAGGGTTTCCAATTGCTTATTGACTACTGGAAATGCTTGCATGGTGTGTTTGATTGAAATTTTGTTGTCATAGAGTATGCATCATACATGCTCTTATGTCTTTGATTTATAATTTGACTTAAGTGTTGTAGTTACAAGGCACAAAAATTTCTAGTTGACAGCTACATTACATCTCGCATTGGAGCACGTCATAACGTACCTTTTAGAACCATGTTGCTAATAGCCTAGTAGTCATATGTAACATTACAAGTGTATAATAATTATATTTGTTATATCATATAAGGAAAATATATACTAAACTTATTCATATAAATGAAACTTTTAATAAAAATAACTATTTTTTCCGAAATTTGCAAAATAACTACATTGTCCGGAATGCATAATTTTGGAGTAGTAAAGTCTGTTCCAAAATAGCCAGCGGTTGGCAAGATATGACATATGGACCGTAAAAAGTGTATTCTAGAATGTAGGAACGTTCCATACATAGGTAGAGCTACATAGGAGCCCGAGGTATCCTGGGTCACCCCTCAGGTTTCGTCCAATAATATATACCTTTTTTTTAATTCTTTTTTTAGTTACGGTGCTACCCCTTAAAAAATTATGGGCTACCCTAAAATAATTGGACTACTCCTAACTTATAAATTCAAACACACTATAACCCAAATGTATGTTAATAGTCCAAAAATTTATGCTCATATTTAATGTCAAATTAATTAAATAAAAAATGCCCAATCCATATTTTTTTTGTTTGCTAATATTGGATGAAGGAATCAAAGAAACAGACACAACGCACATTAGAGGAATAAAAGTGTGTGCGTCGGTCTTGCTGCCTAGCCCCACCCCATTATCGACCCTAACTTTTTATTGTCGATGACTTTCTTTACTGACAATCTCCTTTCCGGAAACATTCTCTTCAACGACCCCCCCTCCCTCCTCCCTTAATATAATGAAACAAGTAAGTCTCAACTCTCAGTCCTATTATTAATTTAGGTTGTTCCAAATTTCCATTGTTTGTCTATTGTAAAAGACCTGAAATTAGCAATTATTTATCTGGTATGGCTCTAGGTTCCATGCCTTCAAGCAGGATTTGTGGTGGTCATTGAGTTACTCGATTGGCCCTATCTTATGAGATTGACACTAGCGGGATGGTTCCTATTCCTATTAGATACATGGGTACTACCACTCTAGGGAAGATGTGGGTATTGGTTCGAGAAGTTGGGTGGCAGTGGAGGGTTTCAGATGATGATATGGAGCCGATTAGACAGGTGGAGCCAGAGCATATCCCTAAGCCTGTGTTTGAGAGGCATCATAGACCTAGGCATGTCAATCTTGATCAACCGCAACTAACTCTACGCGATGTAATGTCCCATTTGAATGCAATACAGGAGGATCATTGCTAGATTATGGCTTCAATTGCTAGGGTGAGGCAGCACCTTGGGTTGGACCATCCACATTTTCCTCATGCATCTCCTGTTGTTCCACCTCCTGCTCACCTGAGGGGTGTTGGTAATGATGGTGTTGGCACCTCAGGAACATATCCTAGGGATACTGATGACGATAACGAGGAGAGCTCGAAAGACAAGGAGGACGAGTTTGAGAGAAGTGAGTAGGTGGGAGGATTGATGCGTTTGGGTTGTATTTTGATACTTATTTCTTCTTATTTTGTGGGATATTTTGATACACTTATGTATGCTTTTGATTTGTGTTGTATGTGTATGATTTCTATTTTAACATTTATCGAGCCCAAATTTAGTTAATGTCTTGGTTCAGTCAAGACTCAAGACTAAACATAGGTGATCAGGCTATATTAGGAGTAACTCAACTTTTACATACAGAACCAGGTTAGATAATATATATATATATATATATATATATATATATATATATATATATATTGCATTCTTGATTTGTATACTTATTCAGGATTGGTGACTACTATTGTTTCGTACTTTTAGACAATCAAATATGGATTGACCAGATGAGAAGTGAGGAGGGCATGATTATTTTAGCATATAGCCGTTCTGAAATCCAGCAACCCAGGTGACCGTTCAAACTATTCACCTCTCTCGTAAACAGTTTATTAGTTGGGTAATTAATAGTAATACTTTTATTTATAGGTTTGAGGGAAAACCTAATCGAAATATATGTCCTAAGCTAGAGTCGTAATTCCTAAAAAAAAATACTAATTCGCTATAGCAAGTAGCTCTGATACCATTGTGTCACACCTCCCCCAAACATTGGCGAAAATGTCGAGTGGTGACGGTGATTACATAAATTATCCAAATCAGAGAGCACAAACCATAACTACCTTTTTATAGATCTATCTTCAAGCTAACTATCCTTCCTTGCATTGATCCTTATTCAATCCTAGGAATACATGTGGATTTGAAAATGTCAACATGATGTTGGTGAATTCACTGGTTTTTAGATAAACATATAATAAACTCTTTTTGAAAACTTTTACAAATTTTACAATGATTATGATCATTTAATTATATTCCTTATTTCCTATATTTTACTATATTATCTCTTCCAAAATTTCTTGTATCTTGTAACTTATAAGTCTTCCAATTAGGATATTCTGCTAATCCTATCCTACTATTTTTATGGGATATTTTACAATTTCTATCTTACTATCTTTGTAGGATATTTTACCGATCCTATCTTATCATTTTTATAGGATATTTTACCATTCCTATCTTATTATATTTGTAGGATATTTTATCGATCCTATCTTATCATCTTTACCAATCCTATCTTATGAACTTTATATTTTAGGATATTCTATTAATCATGACATATTTTATTTACTATTTGAACGCGTCCCTCTAGGTAGTCCGATCTCTAAGGTGATTGTAATGTATTACCATAAACCCCTATAATCGACGTTGTAGGCTACTAATTTCCCTGCATGATGCTTCATCAGATGTCGAATAGTGCTTGAACAATAAATAAAGTTATCATGTCGGGATTGTAGCTAGAAATCGCAGGTGGATGTGTCAAAACTTGTATAAATCTATACATATCTTTCTGTCTCTTGCAAGATTAACAACTACAGGTTCGGGGTAGCCAAATTTTATCAGACTAAGGATGAAAAATAATAGCTCACTAACACGTTAAACTTAGGTATTTTATCTTTTATCTTTCTTTCTTAGTGATTTCCTATAACCATCACAATATAAATCTTTTACTTTATATTCGATAATTAAAACTTATAGATCTCATAATTATCTTGTGTGTGTGTATATGTATGTATATATATATATATATATATATATATATATATATATATATACCCTAACTTACTCTGATATGGTGTGATGATTCACCTCAGACAGTTGAAACCCACTGATACTCTCTAATTGTAGATCCGGTAACAAACCCACGCTAATCAATTACCCAAAATAACAGCAAATTAATAACTGGGTCACGACTCACACTAAAAGTCCAAACTAGGGTAAAAGTACTTTTTACCCTTCCCTATGCTTTGCCCAAGGCCCAAGCCTAAACCAGTAATCCAAAGGCCGAACTTCCATATAAACACCCAAGGCCCAAATATGGCCCAATTTTTCAAATTGGGCCCCAAAAATCCTTTATTGGCCTAAAATCCAAAGTAGCCCAAAAGGTAAGCCTAGAAGCCAGTCTATTGGCCCAAAAAGGCCCAAACTACAATAACCCAAGAATGACCCAAACCTCAGAATCCCAAAACAGCTCTCTAGGAAGTACGCCCAACGTACTAGAGACGTACGCCCCATGTACTCGACCACGAAGCACGACGTACAACAGCATGATACACAATCCTCGCATTACGTTGAGCATACCTCGTCGTACGCCCAACGTACTAGTCAGGAGTCCAAAACCCATATTTTTCTCTTAATGCGTTAAGTCAAGATGTCCAAAACATAGATCTGGACTCTATCCAAGGTCTTAACCAATAAAGTTTCCAACTTTACTCTCAAGCACGACTTAATGGGGCTTAACACTTACAGAAATAACTAAATAAGAGCTTAATACATATGTGAACCAAAGTCCTTCATAAAGTTTCCATTTTTATGAACAAAGGACCTTATTGAAGCTTAGATCTAACATCTACTACTTTTGGAGTAGATCAAAAGCTCACTTTTTCATCAAGGGACTTAACAATGCCAAAGAACTCCATAAAATATATCCAACCACAAAGATCATCAAGGTCAAGGATTTTTACCTTTGGAAGCTTGCAAATAGAAAGATACTCCTGTATCTAGAAGCTTAAGCCACACCTCCAAATAATTCTCTTCTTCTTCTTCTTCTTCTCAAGATACCCATCAAACACATACCAAGCTTAAAATCACCAAATTGCACTAAGGGTTCAGTTCTGAGTATAAAAATGAGTGGAGACTGAAGGTATTAAGGTTTTTTGAAGAGAAAATGATCGTAAATAGGGTGTGAAGCCCTAAAATAAGGTTTACATGAATCTGGAGTACTCCCAGCGTACTCCTAGTACGCTTAGAGTATTCCTCTCAAAGATCACGATCCATCTCCTTTGTAAGCCCAGTGTACACCGAGGTACACCCAACGTACTTACCTTTACATCAGTATGCCCCACGTACTCCCTATGTATGCCATGTGTACTAGGGTTTTGCCTTAAACCTTGAAACCTTCCAAAGGCCACAACTCCTTCGTTATAAGCCCGGTTCTGATGATTCTTATATCCATGAAAAGGTTACGGGATTCTCTAAAATTCTATCAACTCATACTTGCTTTAAGATTTCCCGAACAAAAATATAATTTCCATAAAGGCCCGAGTTGACACTTTACCAAAATACCCCTTGGCTCCAAAACACAAACCGAACACTCGGATCATCTAAGCTACGTCACCCACACCCAAATGGTAAATGATTTGGGACAGGGCGTTAAAATACATGCATTGTACATGCATGTCTATAAAGAATCTATTTTTAGGATGTTTTTGGAGTAAGAAGGCCCTTTGGAAAGTTGGAATGGATGGATTTAAGGATTGAGGGTTGAATGCATTAAGTGTCCCAATCTGTAGTAGTCAAGACGTGATCATATGGTGGTCATAATGTGATAATGAGATTTATCTCGGTTATTTTGGACTGGCTTAGTCACCATATGAGGGCATGGTCATCACGATGTGGCGATGGTTTTGGGTCGCAGTTGAGTTGTTGAATCCGAAGTTTTGGATCGGCGCTAAACTTGTTGGCCATGACGTGACCATTGGATGGTCACGACGTGAGAATCAATTTTTGGTATTGTGGTTGTCGGCTTTGACTTTGAATGTTTACTTTGACCATGGTTGACTTTTGGTCAACTTATGGGTTCTATCACACCCCAAACCGAGACGGCAGAAACGTTCAGCGATGGAGGATGTCACGTACAATTTCATCACAAATGAATAATAGTAATCAAAGAAACAACAACCATTATATTGATAATATAGTGTTTACATTATATTCGAAACATAGCTTGAATGACTTCAAATGTATATAGTAAAAACTAAGACTAGAAGCTATTATGCTCCGACTTCTTGAAAACCTGTGCATGTACCTGTGTACTGGTTTCCTGAGAGTACAAGTAATTTTGAAAGTGTATCAACATTTAAGTTGGTGAGTTCATAAGCATTTTTTTTATAAAAGAAGTTCCTTGTTCATTGAAAATGTTCGTATGTTCCTCTAGAAAATCCTATATTTTCTTTATAAGTAATGATAAGTAATGTGATCATACCAGTTCCTTCTACGATCACATAGTGAAAACAAGTTACGTATAATCCATATCGGATGGACAGTTGAATGTGTTGATCTGCCCTAAGCCCACAACCAAACAAGGAACAGGAAGTAAGGCAGAATTCACACATTCCACTGTCTATCGAACCCTTATTATATATGAACCTAACGTATTCATTAGGTAATCACAGAGTTAACAATAATGGTCCTTTTAGAAGTGTAACTTGTACTGTACTAGATAAGTAGTACGTTGTAGTTGTATTTGTATGCAACCCTTATGTATGTATGCTCTTGGAATAAATGCTCCTCCATAAATGTATGTTTCTATGTTATAAAATAGTGTACTCGTAGGAAGACCCGTATCTTCCTTCTATAATCCCCCAGTGTGTACAAGTTATATAAAATCAAGATCGAATGAACCATCAAATGTAATGGGTCTGCCCTAAGCCCACAACCAAACAGGGAACAGGATCTAAGGCGGACCCACCCATTTCCAAGTCGATCATGTCTAAATTTTATATAACTCTGACGTATACACGTAGTAATTATAGATGAAATCTAACAATCCTAGATGAAATGTAGTCTTAACTACCCTAAGACTGATATGTGTGAATGTTTGTTCTTGAAAATAGTATATTATAGTATTACATTCAAGAAAATTCAATATTTTCCTTATAAAATGAGTTGTAATCTTAAGACTCAAGACCGAAATGTACAAGTCTTTTCCATACTTATAATAATATATGCAATTTTAAATAAATAAAACCCTTTTGAATATAAGAATCCCCGTAAAGTATATGTGTCGTTGTTTCCCTATGTGAGTTATTATAACCATGCAATTGACATAATAGTCCTTTTACGACGTACTTCGGGCTTTGGAATGTTTT